CTCTTGTCGTGTGTGTGACCGGAAATTCATAACTCTTGTCCCCGTGGACCGAAAGCGTTCAAACTTGGAAGGAGTACAGGCGGCAGAATGGGAACTCTTTTAGTGGGTGGTGAGACCGGACTCCGCCCAAAGGAGGCGGGGTTTGTAAGAAACATTTGCTTAAGCGGAAATTCAGAACTCATGTCCCCGTGATCCTAGAGCACTCAAACTCGGTAGGAGTACGGAGGGCAGGATCAGAACACTTACGGTGGAAAGCAGGACCAAACTCCGCCTACAATGGGCGGAGTTTTTGCAAAAATTCACATCTCCTGCCTCCGTGATCCTAGAGCACTCACACTCGGTAGGAGTACGGAGGGTAGGATAGGAACACTAACGATGGGTGGCAGGACCAGACCCCGCCTACAGTGTGCGGAGTTTGATCGAAAATTCATAACTTCTGTCTCTGTTGACCTGGGACGTTCAAATTTAGTAGGAATTATGAGAACAGGATAGGAACACTCACCGTAGGTGGCAGGAAATGCCACAGGGGCGGTGTTTGCGCGTAAATTGCCAATTTGGCCATAGGGCGTTTATAGTATTCCAAGTGCACGAAAATTTTACGGAGGTACGCTTCCTTAGCCCATCTGTCCTATTTTTCTCTGAATAATCGCTTTGGATATTATACGATGTTCTTACCGGACACAGCGAAGGTGGCTTACAGAAAAAATGGCTTTCGGTTTGGAGCTAATACTGAAGGTGTACCGCTTTCAAGGAAAAAGGAGAATTCGAAGTGATATTTACGCATAGCTAATTTCTTACAGAAAGGAGGATTCCCTGGGGAAGCTGGGCGACATCATAAGAAGGAGGAAGCCCGGCGTTAGCCGGGCGGCCCAACTGGTTTATATGAACGCATGACAGAAAATCCATAGGCTATTGATTAACGTCCCTTTATATGAAGATTTTTTCACATTCGGAAAGAATTCTTGTTGATGGGATCAATCACGTTGTACAGGGTTCTCTGTTGAGTTTTCAGCGCACCATCACAACTACGAGGGTCTTCATTCAACCCCGCATCTTCGCGGGGTCCGCTATACTTGTCAATTGTCTCCACTTCCTTCCATCTGCGGCATCTGCTGCCATTTTAGCTCCGGCGAGGTCATTCTTGATCAAGTCCCGCCACCTCTTCTTTAGGGATCTCGGTCGCTTCCCTTAACCTCGCACTCCATTGCCCCTGTTATTGGATGATTTCTCAGTGGTTTTCTCAGAACCTGTTCGTACCATCCTGCGAGCTGCTCTCTCATCTTCGCTTGCACAGAGGCTGTTCGCGTGAACGCTCTGACGTCTACTTTTCTGATACGATTCCCTCGTCTCCTACCACAGGTTGAACAACCTCAATTCAACAGGGAGAAACTGTTTTTCATGGCCAACGATGACCCACGGCGAGCCAGCATACCCGTCTTAGGTCGTTGGCCTCACTACTGCTATGTAAAATTCTCTCCATTTCATCTATGCCGCGTCTGTTCAGGCTTTTACAGCCTGGTTAACGCTACCATCAGCGACTAGATAATTTCCTACGTAATAGAAGTCCGGTACTTTTCGTAGCTTCCCCAACACCTTCTGAGATCGAGCCTATGTACTCCTCAGAGCTGAGGAACCTAGTCTTCTTCTCGTCCAGCCGAAGCCCTCTCTCCGCCAGCACCTTCTGCCGTTTCTGCGCCGGAGTGTTTTGTAGTTCCTTTTTGCACTCTGCTGTCATAGCGATGTCACAGCGCAGAGGATGGTTTAGGTGGTCCATCTAAGAGTTCTCTCGTGATGGCATCCAGCGTGCGTAGGAGGGAGAAGGGGCTAAGAGCCCACCACTAGTGAACCAACGGCGTGACATGCGTTGCTCGTGGAGTGGGTGTTGCTGTCGTGGACCCATCGTACATGTCTTTGACTGGGAAAGTCAGGCTTTCTGGAACGTTTCGCTCCTGACACCCTCAGAGCACTTGTCGCGAGAGACCGTCTCAGGCTTTTTCCAGATAGAGGGAAGCCAGATAGCGGAGCATCCCATCCTCCTGATACTTTTTCATTCTTGCCTGCCTATGAAGATAGCATTTGTTGTAGATCTTTGTGGCTGAAACCGAATTGCTTCTGTGAGATCTGTACGAGTTCTCTCAATCTTGAGTCGACTAACCATTCGTTAAGTTTCATCGAGTGAGCTGTCGGCCTGATCTCCCGATAGTGGGAACACTCCATCACGTTCCCTTCCCTTTTTGCTCGAATATGGCACGCTGCATCTCCAGCCATCTGAAATTCTTCCTTCAGTGGCCACAGTGTTCAGGGAAGCGGGTGAACACCTAGTCCCGTGCTCTCGGAGTGCCTTCCATGCCTCTATGTGGACCCCAATTGATTTTCCAGCCTTCCTCTTCCCAATTGCCCTACGCACCTAATCTTCCTTCTAGAGTGCGATGTAACCATCCGTGGGTCCTATTTCAGGACTGTTCTCACGGTGAAGTTCTCCTTTTAAGGGCCTGTCGCAGTAGTTTCCCCACTCCTATGCCTGACCTCACTAGGCTTCCTCAGGATTGCATCCTCCCTGTTTTTGACGGACTTCACTACCCTGATGTCACGAGCAGACCGGTGGCGCGCTTTCGCCTGCCGGAAGGCGAAATTGTCTTTATCTCGGCCTTCGAGCTTTTCATACAAGGCGTCCATTCACGTATTCCTTGCCTTCGCTACAGGAGTCTAGGCGAGCCTTTCGGAACTACCGTAGGCAGCTAGGTTCTCTGGCGATCGCGTGTTCTGCAAGTGCTTGTAGGTCACTTTCTTCTGCCTCACAACTCAATGGACTTCATCGTTCCAAAACCACGCTTCCTTACCTCCTCGAAATCCCATTGAGCCTTTCTCAGCGTCTCCCTTGCACACTGTAGGATGGCTTTTACAATGTTGCTCCAGATCTGCTCGATCAGCCCTTTAGTATATGAGAAACCAGCCTCCAGTTTCTTCTCTTCAAAAGCACGGTTCGCGATTAAAATAATTACTAAGTTCTTCCCCTAGGAAAACTCAGTGGCCCCCAGGGGTAATAAAAAGGACCCCCACGCGCTCAAAAACTCGACGGATAGGGCATAGTGGAAGCACTGTTCCCGGCTTGCGCGGCATTCCCCACCCCCTTCATCGATCGATAGACGATTGTCAAGGCGACACATATTGCAATTATTCGTTTTAGAACCCATACAGAATCAGCTGATCGTCGAGTGATGAGGCAATGTTCGTCCCCATTCTTTTTTTCCTCTGTTGCTCTTTTTGAACCCGCGATCCCTTAATTACTTTCCTCAACCGAGACGCTGAAAAAGGGGAGCTATTTTTGCTGTTATCAGGGTTTTTGTTTACCTATGCTTATGAGTGAATGCATTTTTGCTTACCGCAGTCAGCTATCTGCACCAGGACCCACACGGACACAACGACCCACATTGTTTAGCTTGTCCAAGCGCCCCACTCTTCATACTTCTCGTCTCTTTCTCGTCCATCCCCCTATTTGACGATTTTTTGAAGCCTTTTTTTCATTTTTAAAACACCGATTCAGGCAGTTCCTTCACTTTCGTCGCTCTATTTTCCATCTTATCTTCCTTTTTTCGTCATAATCTGGATTATCCGAAATTATCGTGAATTCTGCCTCCAAAGTGTTATCTTTCGGCCTGGTGCATTCACCACCGGATCTTTTGTTCCGCTCTAGTCCTTGATTTCTTGGGAAGTTTTATGGCTACATATGTCTGCCAGAAGAGGCCTGTGCTGCGGAGTCTATTCGCCAGCCTGAACGAACCCTGATATCCTTTGTAGTTCTGAGGGACGATTTTTTCACGCGCACCTCTCGGGTCTATTTCCGTTTTCTTCCCTCCATTGCTGTAAGTTACCTTCTGAATCTTCTTATCGCGAAGAAGAAGTTGCAGGCTGCCAATTAATGGGCTATGACCAGGCCAAAGATCCTTTCTCCTTTTTCGTTCCTGACTCCTATTCCTCTACCTCCATTTACACTTTTGAGCCCCTCCTTTCACTGTCGACGTGCCCATTCGGATCACCCCATATGGGGAGATTGTCTCCTTCCGGAACTGATCTGATGGCATCGTCAAAGCTCAGACGCTCATCTTCTTTTACGCATGGGCAGCTGGCTTCTGGGACGTACATAGATATTATTCAGGAGTAACCCTCTTTTGTGTCTTCCTTCACGGCCATGATTTGCTGCTATCCTGTTGACGGTGGCGACACAGTCTTTGCCAGTATCCGCCACTGCTATAGCTTCACTATTTCGTTCGGTGTCGTCTCCGTTGTAATAGAACCTTACACCCTTTCCGCGTTCTCCAGCCTTTGCTCCTTGGTATCCTGAAGGCATACGACCAGGATGATTATGCGCTTTATTAGATCAGCGATCTCTCGGGAGTTCCCAGTGAGCGGGCCCACATTCAAAGTCCAAGTAATTTAGTAATTTGTTGGGCCGAAGTCGTTTACTCCTCGGTAGCTCTCGCATACTCTCCACAGGACTCGGGCGTGGGTCCTGTACGTCACTTCCGGGTGACGCCCCGGCCTTATACTGATACTTTTCAAAACTTCATACACCTCACCCTCTTTCTAAATGCAGACATGAGTCTACACTCTTATCCACTCGGTCATCCCTGTCTTCGTCCCAACCACAAGAGTAATGGTTACGGTATAAATAAGGGTAATGGAGCAGTGTCGCACTGGGAGGTGGCATTTAGTTCCACTTCTACTTACTTCGCACCTTCCTCGCACATCCACTCACTCGCCTGTGGGATGACCTCTCTTAATTGGTTGGCTGCTGACCTCTCTGGCAATCTGAGTGAACTTATATTCATCTAATGGATTGGAAACTTTATTATTATGGTTATTATTATTTGTTATTAATACACACATTGCAAATAATATACAATAGGCACAATGCAATGTGAAGATTCAAAATCTTCATATCATGATAAAACTATGAAGCCTTATCGGTGACATATCTGGACATTTCCCTGCAGACTTGTTCTATTTCCTGCTCACTTGGTCCATTCCTCTATATCTCTTCAAAACTCGAAAAGGGTTGTGGTTCACAGAGCTCACAGTGTTTTCGGGTGCTGAGGATAAATACAATAAGAGGAATACACATTTCAAATAATATACAGTGGGCACAATATGTCAGTGTCCTCGTCGTGCGTGGTGACTTTTCCTGCCTTCTCCGCTATACCGCTCCATGCCACCAAAAAAGACGTCCGCTGAAATGATGCCATCGTGGCTCAAGCCTATTCTGGAGGGATGGGATGACTATTTTGAAAGGTTTGACAAGTTTTTTGAGCTCTTCTTAAAGATGCATGGGACGCAAAACGTCACCCTTTGTATACTTGACTCTCTGGAGCGCAAATTCGATGAGGTTGTTACAGTGAGAACTCTAGGCCAGCGCTTGACAGCACTCTTGTCAAGTTTAAGTCTGGTACTAAAATCGTAGATGAAAAGGCATGTAGAAATATGTTGGTCGGCATCGGCGAACAGGCTAGCGGAACGGCTACCCGTGCCTTCGATAGAGAGGCGATCAAGGAAGTTATTGTTTCTTGGGTGATGAAGAGCTGCTACGTGGGTTCAATGCAGGAAAAATAATTTACCATAGGCATCCCAAAACGAAACCTGACACAAATGATCGTAAACCTATTATCAAAATTAGTTTAGGTAATCAAAGTCTCAGAGATAGAATGTTAGATCATGTGCGTGTCGGAAGACTCTCGCTTGTCATGGATTTCGTTCATTCCCATGCCAGAACATAATACACGAAAGAGGAGCTGGAATATGATCGTTCCCTACGTCGGAAAGCTGGAATAATGAATCAGACAGAAGGTAAGCTTACATATGTCGTTCGGGATCTCACCATTGATAAACTAAGGAACCCCCGTGACCTATCCAACGGAGAAAAGGGGGCTAATTCGACGTTCAACTCGAGCTCTACCTTCACCGCATATGGCCTACAAGCTGAGCTCGCACCAATTTATCCCATTACATATTTGCCAGCGACCACTCACTAGGAAACGGGTCCCATCAATAGGGTCTACAATAGCTACGCTGTCAACGAAACCTCCCGCGCTCTTCTTGGCTCGTCCCTAGATGAACGCGGGGGGTTCCTCTTGTTCCATGCGCGCTCGATCGTCAATAAACTAGCTGATCTCCATTTCGTTCTCGAGCAAAGACCTCGAGCAGTTTCCATTAATGAGAGCTAGTGTAAACCGCATTCTATCCATGACGCTATACTGAGCTATAACTCTATATATGAAATATACCGCTGTGACAGGGTGGGCATCAGGGCCGGTATTGAGGTACTTGCCCTTATTCACAGGAACCTTTCACACGACCATCTTCACCTCCTTTTTCTCCTTGCGAAAAAAGATTTTAGTGATTTTTCACAAGCACTAATGTTCGAATTCGAGATTGTGAGGACAAAATTGCCTTTGTACTTGCCTACCGTAGTCTTTCATGTTCCTCAGCTGTTTTCATAGAGTTCATCGCATTTCTGCATCAGCTCCTCAATGGATGGGGTGGTCATATTCTCATTCCTGGTGACTTCAACTTCCCCTCGATTGACTGGGACAGTACGACACACAGAGGGAGCTTTTCTTCACCATCGTCGCTTTCTTTCCTCTGCTTCTCACAATTTTTCAATCTCACACAAATGGTCAAAGTTCCAACACATGGACTTAATATTTTGGATGTTATTCTGGTCTCTAAACCAGAACTTATCGAGGACCCCAGTGTACTTCCTTCTTTCAGCACTTCTGACCACAATTCTGTGATCAAATTGAAGGTGACTTTGCAAAAGCTAATCTTTTCGCTTATTACTTCCGGTCGGTATATAAAAGGTCGTGCGCATCAGAAGCCGGTCTGCCTTCCTTGTCATCGGATTCCTTGGATTGGGTAGACGTATCCAGCAGTAGACGGTAGACGTATAGCGTGCTGTGCAAGCAGAGTATCTACCTCACCAGATGGGATACCATATATTTTTTTTTAAAAAGGCCGCTATTGGTATCATGACTCCATTAACAATACTATTCAATAGAATATTACTCCATGGCGACGTCCCTTGATTATGGAAGATCGGGCTCGTCAGACCAGTCTTCAAAAACGGTAGCAGGAGCAAAGTTGCAAACTATAGGCCCATATGCTCAACTACCTCTATGAGCAAAGTCATGAAGCGCATAATATGTCGAAAAATTCTAACGGAGAAACTTACTTCACAAAAGCCAGCATGGGTTTCTTAATCGTAGATCAACATTGTCTGCCCTCATCTCTACAGTCCCACTGTGGCTAGGGAGATTTACGAAAGAAATTTTGTTTCAGTCTGTTTCATTGACTATGCAAAAGCCTTTGACACTATCTCTATCCCACTACTTTTGAGGAAGTTGGAAGCGTACGGTATCAAAGGCTGCCTTCTCTAGCTTTTGCAGTCCTTTCTTAGTGATAGGTTTCAATCTGTTCTCATAAACCAGGCTCGTTCTTACTGTTATCCGACAGGTAGTGGTATCCCCCAAGGCACTTTTATTGGGCCTCTCATGTTTATTATATATGTCAACGATCTAGCCGATTCAATTACAATTACAAGTTTTATACAAAAGCTGCAGTAATGGGATTAGGCAGGAACCATCCGGACTTTACCTTCACCAAGTGTGGCGGAAGTTTTGCTCGCGTTACACATATTCGCGATTTAGGAGTTGTTTATAGTAACAAGCTCGATTCCGAAAGCTTCGTACATGACGATGCTGCCAGAGCGAGTTCCACGGCAAATTTCATATAAAGGGCTTTCAAAATGCGTGACCCATTGCTGCTCTTCCGACTATTCAACCTTTACGTTAGGTCAATCATGGAGTATGGGTGTGGGTGTTAGTTACGACTGAGATTATTTCGCACCGAGGTGCGAAGTGACCTCAATCGTAATTACCCTCATCTTAATTACGCGCCTCCCTTGATCGTAACTATCCTCATTTTACATATGAGAGTGATGGCGAATGATAGGAATGATGAGAAAATGAAACTCAAAGAAAATTAGTTGTTTTAACGTAAAATTTTCATGGTCTTTGGTTTAAAGAGTTTTATCACCATATAGAATAGAAGAGTTCGATAGTCATAGAACTGAAATTCGTGTGAGACGTGAAAAACGTCCTTTTGATCATTCTTTTTTTGGAATTCCACAGATCTGTGATATAAAACAACATTTATGGAGGCGACGTAGTTGTTTGATATTGGGGCATTTCGTGTTTGAAAGGTCATTGGACGCCAGCCGGCTGATCAATTAGGCCATTTCACCCTTCTCACTGAATATTACAATACTTCAGGTTAAATTTAACACGTTGAAGAGAGTTCATCAGCTACTGTTTAACCTGGTGGTTAATTGATTTACATGCAACTACTGCCTTTTGAAAAGAAGCCTCGCTCAAAACCCTATATGTGTTTTGAGGACACATTCTACTATTTCCGAAATTTCAAGGGGTTCCTTTCAGCTTCAACGCAGCTCCAATCCGCACCCCAATCCTTTAACTATACAACTTCCGTACCGAAACCACCTCCACCAATGCAGCTCGAACCCGCACCACAACCACTACACTGCGCTACTTCCGCACAAAGCGTACGGAGCAAATCGCATCCAGATCGAGGAGTTTTGCATAGAGATGTCCAAATTCGTCACGAACAAGACCACTCGAGTTGTTTTTTCGTTGTTTTTAGATACTTCTTATTAAAAAAATAGGTTTCTTCACATTTTATTGGAATTTTTTTGTTGAAATTTCCATCATTTTGCATGAAAATGAAACTCTTTAAACTAAATACAATGAGAATTTTACGTTTAGAATCTAATTTTTTTGAACTTTCATTTTCTCATCATTCTTATCATTCGCCCATCACTTCATAAGTAAGATGAGCTTGGTTACGATTGAGGAGAGGCGCGTGATTAAGATGAGGTTAATTACGATTGAGGTTACTTCGCACCTAGGCGCGAAGTAATCTCAGTAGTAACTAACGTCGCACACCCATGGAGTATTGTTCCCCCATCAGGTCACCGTACAAACGGTCACTAATCGATGAACCTGAGAAAGTTCAGAAAAGTTTCACTTACCGCTGCTTCACTCGTAAGGGAATTACTTCCCTTCCGTACGGTGAACGACTTTAGAGACTCGGAGGTGCATCACTTGAATTTCGACGAAAAGTAATTGACTGTGGTCTGATGTGTAAGCTGATCACTGATGAAATCGAATTATATTCAGAGAACATTTTCGAAATATCGCCTTTCATAGGGCTCCCAAGGGGCCACCCCTATCGTGTGCGCTCGGAAGAACCTAATAGTCGGGCTTATGAAGGCACCTTCCCTGTTCGAGTTGTGCCATTATGGAACAGGCTTGGTTCTGATTTTTCATATGAAGAGGTTTGCATCCGTAATAGATTAAGCTTCCCCGTTATCTCAAAGAGCACCATGCAACTCCAAAGACGTAGAATCTTCTGAAGGTTTAAATTTTCTGCTTTTTTTCTGATTCTTTCAGCTTTTTCTGCTTTCTTTTCTTTTCTTTCTGTTTTTCTGCTTTTTTTTCGCTTCCATTTTCCTTTCTCCCTTGTAAAGGTGATCCTTGTAATCTAATCGAGCTAATCGTTTGTGGAATGTATGATCTTAATGGCTAACTACACTGTTGTTCTGCTTCGGTAATCCCCCCATTTTTGGCCCAGTATGTCAGCGTTGCCCTTCTCTGGGCCCTGGGAGAGGTTGGCGGACCTACTAAGCTGGTATCCGGAGCAGCGATTCCTGCTCGCTGCTTGCAGTGTTTCGGCGTTTTGGCCGGGGCACTGCCCTTTCTATCCCGGGCGACCCGTTGACTCCCCCCCCCCTCTTCCCACCCTGTTCCGTGCTCATTGTATATTGTAACTGCATTATCCATTTTATCTAACCATCCATTTTAGTTTCATTTTATTTATATTAGACAAGTACTTTATATGCTATACTATTGTTGAATTGACGCTACACTTGTTTCGCATCTTTTCGTTAACTGTAAAAATAGATAAGTAAATAAATAAATAAATAAAAGGTGGATAAGATAGGGGGGTACAGTGTATTATGGTGGGCTAGCTAAATACAGGGATCCGTGGGAATAAAGAAGAGCAACAGGAGCAGCGACTCATATGTTGAAGCCGGCGAAGGCGTTGTAGTCGAATTCAGAGTAGTACAAGTGAGACATCGAGCTCGTGCAATGACAAACACACTACAGAGGTG